TGTCCCAATTGTTTTCTTAGGTCCTCTTGGGACTCCCCGGACCTGAAATTACACCTATTGAGTTCTTAATGAATTTTGCTTGATCAGAGGATTCCAAGGTAATCCCATAAAAGCTGAACTGAAACCAAATTCATGCACTGGCACAAGAAATTGCAAAAGGAGTTGACACCGAATAGGCATGGTCGCTAGGGTGCACGTATAGTGAGGCGGGCAGGTGCGTTTGGAGGCTGGATGGATGATGTGCTGGAACTGGTTCTGGTAGGCAAAAGTATACGTACTACAAAACATTCTCAACTTGCAAGTTTTTGTCTGGACTTTCTGTGCTTAGAGGCACTGATGTCAGGGAAACAAAACTCACTCAAATTAGCTTTGAATTTGCACTGACATATCCCGAGAAGCTTGAACTCTGCAAATGGCCTTTTTAAGATTTGGATATGGTCACCTTATGTTCAAGTGATGAAAAAGGGCATTATTAACAGTGGTTATGTAACTAGTGGTATGTGTTCAGCACAATCTAGTGATTAATTATTCAATGGTTTTAGAATGATGGATTTTACTCAAAGGCATTTCAAATCAGGATGAAGCGCAATATATGTACATGAGCATACTGTACATTTGCAAGTTTTACGATTGCGCTGAACATAGGTGCCATCAAATTGACTAAAGTCCTTCACGGTGCATACCGTATTTCAAAACTCCAAGGACAAACCAAGTTATTTGGGGTTCACGGTACATGTGAAAATATCCAAACATTTATGAAATTAGAATGTAAACCTACGGTTATTTATACATGTCGATATGTACCGTAAGCTGATTACACGCAATAGTTGGATTTTCATATTTTACTTCCTACATACATATAGGTGCACTTTGTACTACTGCTGGAGTGAAAGCTAGAGATAAATTTGTTTTCCATGTTAGCTCCAAGCAATGGAATTCAACGTCATGAGGCACAAGTACCAACGATAGAGGAAGTTGCTGTATGTACCACAAAGCAAGGAAATTACTACAGGTGATGATGAAAAGGCCTACCGTTGCATACAGACAAATTGCAAGTTCTGATTTATGCAGTCATGATGTTGTGTGTACAATGTATGGGGGGGGGTAGATCCATGTACCACCATCATAAATGGTCCCCCCAGGCCATCAACATCAATATGCCTGGTCCTCTGCTTTCTAACATTCATGTCCCCAAGTACTCCCCATTTAGTGAGAACACAAGGTTGCCATGCCATTGAATACATGTGCACATGTAAGCTGTAATTGCACGTGGTCAAGTTCTGATACAAGTTTTCCCATGCATCAACACATGAACTGCTGCACCTGTAATAAACACGTTTACCCTTGGCAATGATACAGATGTTTACCTGCACAGACATGAGGGCAGTCTTCACACAGTGGCCTCGGTATCAATGATGGATAAGAGCAGTCAAAGCAGGACTGATCATGAGAAGTATGAAAACAGCTCCATCAATCTACTGGGAGCAAGACTGCAACCAACTGGAAGTGAGATTTACTTGTATATGTACATATAAACACTAAAATTTATTGAAGAACAACTGCAGAAATTGTTCAAACTGGTCTTGGAAGAATAGTGCAAAGTTTACAGTATTTGAAAGATCCTGATGTTTTCAGTTGAACCCCATATCATTTGAAATGTCTAGAAATTTTCATAATGGAATAGAAGTTGGCAGTTTTTATATTATACACTTCAGAGAAATGTATGCCCTAAAACATGAGAGCAGATTTGTGCTTCATTTTTTCAAAATAACCAATATGCATATTTCATTGTTCCCCTAAAAGACAAAACTGTATTATTACTGGTTCACACTGTTTGATTATTTACATGATGCTATCAGCTGAATATTTCAATTTTCTCATTTGTTTTTTGTGTCTAGGCACCCTTCCAGCTGCTGTTGAAGTGAAAGCCGCATGTTTAGAATTCAACATAACTGCAGTTACATGTACATCAGATGTACGGCCATCCACACTGGCAGAAGCTGCTGCACAACCAAGCAAGGAAATTAACAGGTGATGGTGAAAAGGCCCACTGTTGCATTCACATACAGACAGATGGCCAGTTCTGGTTAATGCAGTCATGAATCAAAGTTTGTGTGTACAGTGTGTGTGTGTGTGGGGGGGGGGTGTTCATCCATGTACCACCAACACTAATGGTTCCCCTATGAACAGCCACGTGGCCTGCTCCCCGCTCCTCTTTAACATTCAGGTCACCATATACTGCCCATTTAGTGAGAACGAAAGTTTTCAGCATTCAAAAGATCCTGATAAGTTCAGTTGGTCCGCATGTCATTTGAAATGTCTGGAAATTTTCATAATGGAACAGAAGTTGGCATTTTTTATATGATACACTTCAGAAAAACTTATGCCCTAAAACATAAGACCAGACTTGTGCTATGCAGATTTGTGCTTCATTTTTCAAAACACTCAATGTGCATATTTCATTGTTCCCCCAAGAAACAAAGCTATACTGGTTCACAATGGTTGATTATTTATGTGTTGATATCAGCTGAATATTTCAATTTCCTTATTTGTTTCTTGTGTCTAGGCAAGCTTTATACCGCCGCTGAAGTGAAAGCCACTTTTGTAATCCAACATAACTGCAGTTACATTTAAAGAGTGTTGTAGTCGAGACCATCGGAAGACCAGACACAAGACTAGACTCAAGACCATGCACGAGACCAGTCACAAATAAGAGGGTGAACAGTGACAAAGGAATCTTTTGTTGCGGTTCATTTGATAACTTGTGACTTAAATTCAGACTGGAGGTCTTGTGTTGGTCTTGTACTGGTCTTGAGTGGTCTTGTAAAGGTCTGAAGTGGTCTTAACTACAACACTGCATGTAGATCAGATGCACGGCTATGATCCACACTGAAGGAACCTGCTGTACGACAAAGGAAAGAAATTGACAGGTGATAGAGAAAGGCCTACTGTTGCATTGACATACAGACAGATTGCCAGTTCTGATTAATGCAGTCATGAATCAAAGTTTGAATGTGCAGTGTATGTGGGGGGTGCATCCATCTACCACCAACATAAATGGTTCCTTCATCAACAGATTACAGAAGAGTTTTTACCAGCACAGCACACAAAGGAAGTCTTTTGACACGTTGGTGTGGTCGATGGAATGCATTTCACACCGAGACTATTCTACAGAAGGCCTTAATCAAAATACCATGATTATCTCAAAAAAAGACTGCAACCAATAGGACCTTAGATATATAAATATATGTGTACATGTCGCCGCCATGTTTTATTCGAATGTGACAGGTCACTTTTGTATGTTATTCGTATAGCGCCCTCAGTTGGCTGTGCTCAGTCAACCATTCAGTGTGAGTTCATTTAGAGACCCCCTCTGGGCACTTGCAAGTTCATTTAGTGACCCCCTCTAGGCACCTTTGTAGTATATTGCCCTTTGTCTCATAACACACTCTTGTTTGTTTGTACGATTTATTCGGGTCTACTCCGTATAAAAGGCACGTGTCGG